GTTAATTATAACGCTTGATAAAACTTACTTCAGTGACATGATTAATAGACCGAGTTTTGATTGTAAGGCGTCGCTTTCTTTAATATATTGGATAATACTAGAATTTTTCACTAGTTTTTAACATACAAGAAAACACGCTACATTTATATGTAATAACATGGATAATACTAGAATTTTTTACTAGATTTTAGCATACATATAAAAAGACCACAATACCTTTATATAAAATAACTAAAATCCATTTGAATTCAGTTACATGGTGACTTATGATTCGAATGTTTTCACAAAATGTGACTTGGCAGCAATATATGAACATATAACATTTTTTACATGGTGTAGTGTATAGAAAGGCTTCTGTTCCTCTCTGAAGGATTACATGGCACCAAAATCCATTCAAATTCAGTCGCATTCAACGAGAGCATCGATCGCTGACCGCGACCGTGCACTCAAAAAAATGCATGGGACATCATCAAAATACTGACACACTTTCTTACCTATTGCACGAGCATAAAGAAGGGGTAGCATTAATAAGTTCTTCAGCTACGCCAAACTGGGTCAAAATAACCCACTCAAAGGTGAAAAGTATATCACCATTTGGACAAATCCTCACTCATTTCTCTCAGCGTATATGCGTGCAGCTGCGTACCGCTCGTGCCTGTTGTGCGTTAATCGATCGACGCGCGTTTAATCGATCGGCGTACCGGCGGCAACGCAAGGTTAGTAGGACAGCGTGAAACTTTGAACACATTCAAATACACTCAGAAAACTGAATGGATCACAGGGTCCGAATACTGACACACGTTCTGCTTGTAGCAATATAGTGGCTTTTGCTGGGCCGAAGTAAGTCAGGATGATTCACATAAGAGCAAAAAGTGCATTGCTATTTGGACAAGTCCCGTTCATTTCTCAGAGTGATAAAATAGAATAGAAGTGTCGGCACTGAAGAAATAGGCCCATTGCCTGTTGCCGATTCTTGAACTTTTTGTGATTTGATTCACAAGGGATCCGGCCTTTGGAACCCGATCTTTCCATAACTGACGATTGATTAATCTGTGGAAGCTTCACTTATGTACATGCTGCATATTCTGAAATGTATATAACACAATTTCAAGCAGCGTTTGCATATTAGATGATAACTAAGGAGTATTTCTGCAGACATGCGCCTCAAATG